GGTCCTCAAGTGCCACATCCACACGTCTGAGGTGTCCCTCCAGGGATGGTGACTCCAGCACTGCCATGGGCAGCTGTGCCAGGGCTGGGCAGCCCTTTCCACGAGCAAAGAAGATCCAGTGAATCCACTTGGTGACCGTGAGTGCTGCTGGTGTGAGCCGGGATGGATCCAGGGATTCCCCTGGAGCAGGAGCCTGGGCCAGCCAAGGGAAGCCCATCAGGCAGGAGATGTCCTTCAGCATGGACATTTTGGAGACAACACTCGATGGAACTCCAACCCGGGGGGGTGGCCCCGCAGCCAGGGGGGGCTTTGGGAGCGGGATTGGGATCGTCCCAGCCCGGCCCCGCAGCCCCTGCCCGCGGTCATTGCTGGGGGGTGAAGTCAGAGTCCACTTGTGTGTGACAGACCAATGGAAACCCTGTCCGGGGCCCACCTGCCACTGTCCCTGCCCCTGACTCAGTGCCCGCGAATATCGCGGTGACGGCCAGGTTGGAAACGCTGGAGCCGGTGCTGGGAATGGGGACGGGACAGGGCGGTGGGAGGTGGGAGGTGCCGGGCAGGGCACGGAGCCATCCCCGCTGCTGTTTGTGGTTGGCCACTGGGTGTTTTCCACGTGAGCTCCAGGGGTGTCTGGAGGTCTGAATTAACCCCTCTGGAGGTCTGAATTAACTCCCCTAAAGGTCTGACTTAACCCCTACTGGAGATCTGACTTAACCCCTGCTGGAAGTCTGACTTAACCCCTCTGGAGGTCTGAATTAACTCCCTCTGGAGGTCTGACTTAACCCTCCTGGAGGTCTGAATTAACTCCCCTAAAGGTCTGACTTAACCCCCTGGAGAGGGGCCCGGCAGGGGCAGGAGGGGGAGCAGCTGAAGGAGGGGACAGCCCCGCTCAGGAGCTGTCACCAGGAACCAGGGACACAGAGGGGGTTGAGTACCTCCCTCCTGCTGGAATCCGGGGGGTCCGGGTGTTTTCCTGGTCCTTTGAGGTGTCTCCCACGGACTCGCACTCCCTGTGATCTGTTCAGAGCTGGATGTGGCCGATGGCAGGAGGGGACAGTTCCTGCCCTCTCCTGTTGGGTGGCTCTGAATGTGTCCCACTGGGGATGGCACTGGGAACCCTCTCAGTCCAGGGTGTCCCTCTCAGTCCGGGGTGTCCCCCTCAGCCCTGGGTGTCCCCTTCCCACGCTGGCACAGGGGGTGGGTGACTCTCCTTGCTGACCATCCCCTGGAGCCTGGCTCTGTCGCCTGCCATGGACCTGCTGGTGACCCGTGGTGACCCAGGTGTGACATCCCACTGCTGTCCCAGCCCTGCTGGGGTGCAAAGAGCCCCCCAGGACCCCCAGAGCCATTTATGGGTCAAGCAGGGAGGATGTCACAGCTCCAGGGAGCCCTTCCCACATGGATGAAAGGAGCTCTTCCTTTATCCCGGGCCTTTGGCATCTCAGCTTTACGAGGCACAAGTGGGAAGTCTCCCCACCTCCTGTCTAATCCTGGAGCCTCCTTTAGGGATGGTCCTAATCTCCAGAAGCCCCAGGGTTTGCCCCAGCTGTTGGAAGGATCCTCCCTCACCCCGCTCAGCTGTCGTGGCAGGGAAGGCGCTGCCGAGGCTCCCCCTCATTCCCACCCGACAGGGCTCTGATTTCCTGGAAAAATCTGGGGGGATGGATCAATCCAATGCTTTTGTAGGGCAGATTACCCCTTTGGAATGGGGCCCTGTCCATAAACCCAGCTGGGAGGTGCCTGTGCTGCGTCACCGGGGGGTTGGAAGGGCAGTGGCACGAGGAGGATCTGATCCTTTGGGGAATAAATGACACGGTCCCTGTTTAGACCCACAGTTACCTGGAAGACAACTGAGGAAACACATCAATGCCCTGGAAACGTGGGTTTAAAAACCAATTGATAAAAGTCCCAGCTTTCTGTAGGAAGAGATCTTTTCTCCCTGGGAATCAGGGAGAACCTGCATTTCGGCAAAACCCTGAAACACTTGGAGTTCCAGGCAAAATTGGGCTGATATTTTTAATTACCACTAAATTTTTAATATTCCACCCTCCCAGCTGCCTGCAGGAGGAGCCAGCACAGCCCCCTCCGGGTGATGTTCACTTCCACGCTGAGGAGGAGGATTTTATTTCCACCACCAGACTCATTTTCACCAGGTCAGAATCCCAGAACGTTCCGAGTTGGAAGGGACCCACGAGGACCATGGAGGCCCAGCTCTGAGGTGAACGGTCCCTGTGGGTGTTTGAGGTCCCTCACCCAAACCCGGGGGGCTGAGACACCCCATCCCCATCTCTGCTGGGTCCCCACCAGCAAAGCCGTGGTGGTGGGAACTGGAACCTTCATCTCGGATCTGGTGCCTCTGAAATCCTCCAACTCTGAGCTTGGCCAACCTGCTGTGGTGCCCCTGCCGTGGAGAGCAGAGCTTCCCAGCTGGAGTTTGCTCAACCCCTGCTGGAGTTTGCTCAGTGTGAGGTGTCTTGTGTGGATAAACAAGATGCCAAAAGGCTCCAGTAACGTGCCCCAGATAAGTCGGGGTGATAAAACCCTGTTGATTCATTTGCACTTGAACTATGAGTCACCCTGTGAGTCAACAGAGCAAACGGCACCCAAACGTCATCCAACAGGTCAAAAAAACTCGAGTTTTGTTCAAATCGAGTGAAATTGTTGCCTTGGTGTTCTTCCTTTCCTGGGGAAAGCGTTTCATTTTCAGCCCTGCTCCCCCGGATTGAACCTGGACAGGAACCCATGTGCTCATTTCCTGACGAGCCAGAGTGGTGGTATTGATTTATTTTGCTTTCAGAGCTCTTCAAATTGCTTTTCTTCATCAAAAGAAACCTACATTTTCTTTCCTTTACAACAAAGTGTTTTCAGTGCAGATTAAACATCGAGATCGTCTTTGGGAAAGGCACAGGGAAGACTTGTGAGGATTATGGATGTCTGTGGGAGTCTGGAAATGGCCACCTGTGGAAAGAGTCATCAGAGTATGTGGAGGAGTCAAGTGGAGGAGTCAAGGCAGGATGGAATCCCTGAAGGTCAGGGTGTGGAGGAACCAGAGCTTCTCCCATGGTGCCCTCCATGCCAGACCCACCTGGGAGCCAAGGGCAGCTGGAGGAGCTCAGATGGAAGGGCTCCTCCATCCCTGGGCAGCAGCACTGTCTCCTCTCTTGCCAGAGCAGCTACAGGAGATTTTCTGGTTCGTGACCCACTTGGCAAGTCCGAACCTCTCCAGGATGCTCCGGGGGGCAGGAGGAGCTGCCGTGCCCGGCCATGGCAGCAGGAGAGTCTGGGAGTGCCCTGTCACCTCCCCCTGCCTCAGAAAGCTCATCCCTCAGGCATCCCGAGGGGATTTAGGGGAAGGTTTTACTGCCGCATTCCTCCTCACGGGGAGGGTAATCGAGGAACATCTGGGGTATCACATCGTTGTGGAGGACACGGGCCCTCCCTGGGGCACCGACACCAGCTCAGGCTGTCCCGGCCTTGTCCTGCTGCCAAACAACCAGGGCAGAGACAAACATCCCTCCCTGAGCAGGAGGGTCCTGCTGCTCCAGCTGGGATGCATCATCCCCCGGGCTCTCCTCTGGGATGTCCCCACGTCCCTTCACAGACCAGGCCTGGCCAGGGGGGCTTTGCTCTTTCTTCTCTCCCTCCCATCCCTGGGTGGCCACAGTTCCCCTCCACCCCTGAAGAGCCACCCCTCGGTGCCAGGCTGGGTCACCTGGCCCTGGCAGAGGACAGGCCTCATGCTCTGGTTGTCCTGGAGGTGCCTCTTGGCCCTGCTGTCCATGGTGGGGGTGTTCCCTGGGGACCATGGAACCAGGAGCCTTTGGAGCAGCACCCAGGGGAGCCAGGCCTGCTTGGCTGCCTCCCTGGGGAACAGGGAAAACACTCTGTCAGCCCAGATTTGAGGAAGGACAGGGATGCAGAGACATCTTGAGGAGTGTCTCATACATGGGAAGGGAGGGAAACACGAGCAGGCAGGGGGTGAGGGATTGCATCCTGTAGGATTAAGGGGCTTTCCTGGCTCAGTGGGGGGATTTGGGGGGAATTTGGGTTGGGGGCTGGTCATGAGTTCTGAGGGGATCAGGCTCCGTGGCCAAGGTCCTGGTGGGATGGGCAGGGCAGAGCCTGGAGGACATGGCACAGGGCTGGGGAGGGATTGATGTTCTCCAGGAACGTGGGTGGGGCGTGGGGACAGCTACATGGGTTGGGCCAAATGATCCCAAGGGTTGTGTTCCAACCCCAGAAATTGTAGGATTGAGGGTGGGGGGAGGACAGAGGGAGCAGAGGGCTCT